CATATATATGAGGTATATTCAGCGTATTTTATTTAAGGTGATAAAGGACTGGTAGTTGAATTTTCTCCCAATCATATAAATAGACATGACTTTACAATAGAATTTCACATAACCTTGCTTTCCCAAAAGGTACTCTTATCCAGGATAGATTGCAGTTTCGACCTCGCTTAGGTCTTATCAATACCCCTAGCGGGACTAGAAAAAGTAAATCAGATATATGAGCTGTGCTAGAACCATGGCAATGTAACTTAGTGGTTAATGCGTCGAAATTATGCATTGCCCTGTCATGGTTCGAATCCCGCTGAGGATATTATAGGAACTAGGCGAGGTCGAAACTGTGGTCCGCCTTGAATGAGAGCATCTTTTGGAAAGTAAGGCTATGTGAAATTTAATGGGAACGTCAGGTCTACTCATATCATTGTGGGAAAATTCAACTACCAGTCCTTACCGTAAACGAAATAGAGTCAACATATCTCGATATTATATAGCATTCCATCAAAACATTGAATTTCATTGAATCTAACCCAATGTTTTTATTATACTTTATTTCATTGCTTTGCATTAAATCACATCATGCAAGATCATACTAACTCGCATACATCGTTTTAAGCTAGAGTTAATTTTTAAGTTCACTATACTATACTTAATTGCGTTTAAATTCATTGCATTTTAATAAATTTAACAACATTGCTTATAGTATAAATCATGAAATGTTATGACACGACATTACATTGCAATGTGTTAACTTTTGATCACAATGTATTGCAGCGCATAATTTATTTTATCTTCACACCAACATGCATTGAATTTTGTAAAGCTCAATATATTTAATGCTTTCATACTTATTTTAATTCTTTTTTCGAATTAAGTATTGTTTTCGTGACTACCAGTAAATAAGTAATATGAGATTTACTCACCCAATTTCGTTTGAGGTGATGAAGGACTAATAGAAGAAGAATTTTCCCACAATTATATGAGTTGAGCTGACGTTTGCATTGAATTTCACATAGCCTTGCCTTCCCAAAGGTCATTCTCATCCAGGGTGAACTGCAGTTTCGACCTCGCATCGGTCCTATCAACACCCCAGCGGGAGTCGAACTGTAAAAATTCAGAATGTCACAGTTCGACTCCCGCTGTGGTGTTGATAGGACCGATGCGAGGTCGAAACTGCAGTCCACCCTGGATGAGAACGACCTTTGGGAAAGCAAGGCTATGTGAAATTCAATGCAAACGTCAGCTCAACTCATATAATTGTGGAAAAATTCTTCTTCTACCAGTCCTTCATCACCTTAAACGAAATTGAGTGAATACATCTCATATTATTTTAATTCATTTTACTACATTTCATTTTACCGTATTGTATTGAATTTCCTTTAGCCTCACCTAATTACATTTCTTCTTTTCCTATCTTCTTGCAGTCTGTCGCTTTTCCTCATATGCTTTATAATTATTTCGTTGCATAGCTATCGCTTTAGCACCTCATATTCTACTTTACCAACTTTAATTATACATAATTTCAACCTAAGCTTCTTCTCTAAATTTGAGTTCTTATTCAGTGCGAAGGACACCCTCTTCACTTCTCAGACTGGTTAGCGAACTTAGCAGATGCTAGTCAGGTGCTTATTGTATGCAATAACCATTGGGCTATTAAGTAACAATTCAAAAATAATATTCTGTTTAGGACATCTCCTTTTAGCCCATCGATATTATGAATATATGGATTTGTCTGTATATTCTTTTCTATTAAGCTCTACTAATAGCAATGTTGACGCTATCCAGACAATCTAGCTTTTGATGTAATGCTGCACCATAGTAGCAATCATCTTCTTGTTGGCAATAAGATTTTAATTGTCTACTGACAAAATAGATTAACTGAATTTTCTCATTTCTTTGAAGGTCGAAAATTGGTATTATCCAAATAGTGATCTGATTAAGGATTATTCTCCCTTGAGCTTAAATGAGATTGCCGAATTAAAAGGAAAATGTAGTAATGGTCCTTTTTTATTGCGCATTTCTAAGGGTTTAAAAGTGGAAATGTATCTCGCAGACTATTATGTGATATTCTCTTTATAAAACATCCCATTTTCCCGCAGTGGAAACTTTTGACTGATTTTTTTTTAATATTTGCTTATTAACTTCAATTTTTTATCATTTAATATTACCCCTTGTTTGAGCGGCTTCAGATATCGACGAGTGTTCCAGCCAGCCGAATATATGTGGTTCCCACCGCTGTACCAACACGTATGGTTCTTACTACTGCACGTGTCTCCCTGGATACACAAAAATTGGTAATGCTTGCCAAGGTTAGTCAGAATCTCTGCAACAACTAGCCTATCTTCACGATATATTTTCTAAAGGAGGGGTAATCACACAATAATTATCATAACCTTGTCAACCCTACCTCACTCACCCTTTTTGACAGATCTAGGTCTAAGTTACTCAATTTACTTACACCGTTGATATCGCGATGTAACTCTTAGATGAAAAGAGGCGTTATTGCAAGAGAGGACTATCCATTCACTGTTACAAAATTAATTCATTTTGCATATAACTTGGCAATAAAAATGAGACTTTAACGTCAAGTGGAAAATCATTCTACAACAAATATAAGAAATATTTAATAAATCCTATCAAGTCTGAATTACTCTATATAAAGTTAGCGCTCTACCAGTTTCTGATCTGTTAGGTTTGCTTAAGAGCTGTTTAAGAGATATGTTTGAGAAGCCCAGCAATAAAATGGGCATGTGAAGAATTTTGTAACTCATTAGTTGTGCAGATGTATTTACTTTAATCTGAGCATGGTTTTAATTTGATAGCAGATAGTTATTAGTATATCTTCACATCCATACTTGATAGGTAATAAATGGAACGCGTTAGTACATATTTGAGAACAGCGATGTCTTTGTCCTGATGAAATTAGCATACATATTTGGCAGCGGTGAATTTGATAAAGTTTGAAAACGAATTATTCGCTATCAAGCATTCCTGCAGCTCGAGGACCTTGCAAAGCGCAGTAGCTGCATATCTTTCATGCACGAAATGAAGGTGAAATTGCCGTTGGTGGCCTCGAGAAAAGCGGAGAAGTTGTGAAGCACCATCTTTGCAGCTCATGGAAAAATTTAAGTGAGTATGTTTTTGAGACTACCAGTAAATCAGATATCTTGGTTGTGTTCACCCAATTTCGTTTAAGGTGATGAAGGATTGGTTGTTGATTTTTCTCACAATAATATAAGTAGAGCTGATGTTTTTCATTGAATTTCACATAGATAAGACCTATGCGAGATCGAAACTGCAGTCCACCCTAGATGAGAAGACCTTTTGAGAAGGCAACGCTATGTGAAATTCACTGAAAAACAACAGCGCTACTCATATCATTGTGAGAAAAATCAACTAACAGTCATTCATCACCTTAAACGAAATAGGGTGACCACAATTAAAAAGTTAAGTTCTTATGATAAAGATAACCCTGAAAAATGGTTTATTGCTTCGCGAACTTCTGTTCGTTACTGAACGGTGGTTCTATCTGTTTCCCCATTTCTGATCGGTGATTGCTTCATGTGACTAACACAAAACCAATTATTCCAAAACTCTTTTTTAACTTTCGCCTTTTTATTCCTGACCGAGGCTCAGTTACCGATAATTCAAGATGGTGTCAACCCTGCAGGATCAACCTCCTGACTAATTAAAGGTCAGCATGAAAGAAAGGCCTAACTAACACTTGAATCTTTACCTGGAAAGTCTTGCTGAATGTCACCTGAGTGTTATAAAATAGCACCACCCATTCAGTGTTGCTTACTATGCACCGTCTTGTTAAGAGACTCGCCGACGTTGGCTATAGAAAAGCTTCCGTTTTCTGGCTCTTGAATCGGTGTCGTGCCTCTGAGGAAATATGACCTGCTTAGCTGACCGGCAGCATCATAAAAAGCCAAATTTATTGCATATACCAGCTTACAAGAGACTATAAATAGGATCGTGAAGATGTTGGTTTAAAAATGAAAAAAATATTTTGTATGCAAATATATATCAACATTCCTACTAGTCTCAGTGATACCCGACTAAATTTTAAGTACCTGGTTAAACCAATTCTATACATTTATCTCTCTCTAAATATGTACAAACATATATGATTGTAGTAAACTGGTATATCATGGTTTTCATTAATAGAAAATATGCTGGAAATTATATTAAATTTTTTTATCTATCTATAAATATATGTATTAAAGTCTAAACCGAATTTAGACATTTATATATTTATATATACAATTGTATTCAAATTCTTTCTAAACGTAACCGAGGTTAGACAAATTTTATGTATACTTATTTATTTATACGTAGAGATTAAGAGATAAAAAATAATTGTTATAGAATTTTTCAGAAATATTTATGTGGAATTAGTTTAGAATTTAATACACTGACTTATATATACATATATATATATATATATAATTATTTACAAATTTCTAGGCACTTCTATTCCATTTCTCCTTAAACTAAAACGTGATTAGACCAATTATATATATTTATTAATAGTGAAATAAAGAATGTAATATTAAGAGATGAAGAGATAGAGAATTGTTGGAGTCAGTCTTGCTTTGTCTTAGAATTATTGAGCTTAATTCCATTTCGAGTGAAATTGTTTGCTGAGAGATTCCAAGGTCGATTTTATCAGAAAAGGACGGCGAATTATTCTTAACTAGCTGTCGATTGATTTTACTGGAACATTCTTGTGGACGCTGTTTCCTAGGTAATTTTCTCCCAAAACTCTTGATTCTTTAGCTTGAATATGGTTATAAGGATGATATTCTGCTCTGATGATATTAGTCATACGAAGTACGGAAGCTCAGTATGTATCCATTTATGTACATATAAATGTATAGATGAATGGATGTGTGTGCGTGTGCGTGTGCGTGTATGTTTCAGTGATGAGCGGGAGAGGATTATCCAAAATCTGGCAACTGAGACGGCGTGTTGTAGTCGTAAGGACAAGTGGACGAGACGCCATGATGGGAGGCTGTGAAAAAGAGGCACAACGCGAAAACACGGTGCCTCCATAAAGTCGACTCATCTGCTGATAAACTCAGGGTGACTCTACTTTTCAAAGCGCACAAAGATAGAGTATATATACAGCATTTTAAGGATGAGCTGATGAGTGTTCTCAACTCGTTAGTTTGAATATGATTGTAAGGCTGACACCCTGTTCAGATGATGTCCATCATACGACGGACAAAGCGTTGCACGTTTTCATCGAATTCGAAGGAGATTACCTCGGAAACAGCATCAACAAGAATGTCCCAGTAAAGCCAATCAACAGCTGGTTAAGAGGAATCCGCCGTCGTCTTCTGGTGGAATCGACCTTCGAATCTCTTCACCAAACACTTTCACTCGAAATATAAGTAAGCTCAACAATTACGAAACAAGAGATTCCTCTAAACCCAACTTTTCTTCGCATGTACTTAGTTTTCTCAGTACTTCATCCTGAAATATTGCTGTTATGTATACTTCTAACGTTGGATCGCCGTCTTTCCACATTCAAGGACGTTTTGTTGGCATCTTGAGGGGACATTACTAGCCAAGGTACCGAGCTAGAACTTTTCAAAAGTAGACAAGTTTAATTCAACCCTTGACCCACTTTGTGCCTGATAGTTGAACTACTTTTATTGCCATGGGATTGGAAGGGAAGAAGGGATACACCAAACATTCAGCAAAATGTTTGTTATCGGCTAGGCACTATTTGCCCATTTAACGAGACGTAGTTCGGTGATGTGTGGTGTTGTCCACTGGCGATGCCGGCACAAAGTTGGAGTCTGAAAGATGGCATGAAATAAACTGCAGAGGACTCATTAGACCCCCTTGAAATTCTGTCAAGTAGCGAAAACGAAGCTAGATCAATTCCATTTTTAACTTTGGACAGAGAACTTTGGCTACTCCATCAGACCATATTTTAATTAAATCTTTTCCGAGCCTCTTTTTAGACCTGAAACTGACCCCGTTCAGAGTTTCCGCTGGAGCCAAGTAGGTTGGATTGCACAGATCACATACAGGGGTTTCTGTTTAAAAAGAATTTAAATATAACTGTTTAGAAATGTATACGAAATTATATATATATATATATATATGTATAAAATCGGTTTAGACCCTAATACATATATTAATATATAGATTAAAAACTTTAATACAATTTCAAGTAAATTTTCTATAAATTAGAACGAGGATATACCAGTTTAATACAATCATATATGTTTGTATATATTTAAAGAGAGAAAAATGTATAGAATTGACTTAACCAGGTTCCCAAAATTTGGTCGGGTATCATTGAGACTAATAGGGACGTTAATATATATTAACACATTTTTAAAAAAATCTTAAATCAGCATCTACTCAATCATATTTAAATTCTCTTGCAAACTGGTTTGCGCAATTAATTTGGCTCATCTACCTCACCTACCCGCTTTTGAAGCAGAACTGTCTTTCTAAGGCTTGTGCAAAAGTGCGAGTGAATAGGTTGCCCGGGGGACAGGCCTTAGCGACAGTCGCGAGGGCCCTTTACCGACGTACCCCATTGCCGGTGTGCCTGTGGACGCATCAGTTTTTTTGCACTAACCCACATCTCCGATTCCGTTCGTCCCTTTTCAGACATCGACGAATGCGAGTCCGGCTCTGCCAATTGTCGAGCCAACGAGCATTGCATCAACGCTCCGGGTTCCTACCGCTGCGAGCCCGTCTGTCCCCAGGGCTATACAGTCGCGGGTCAACCATCGGCGTCGGGTCGTGTCGAGTGTGTCGACATCGACGAGTGCCAACAGTCCCAGACGAGGGCCAAGTGCCCACACGGCAGTCGCTGCGTTAACGAGCCCGGCGGCTATTCGTGCCGATGTCTGTCCACGGGCCAGGAGCCGATTCACGGCGCCTGTTTGGGTGAGTTCAGTCTCGCTGTTTCGGGTTGCCCTAAACCGGGACCCTACCCTGGCATTCACGATTCTCCCAAGTGGGGCCCAACTAGACGCCTGTAGAGCCATTACGTCACAGCTCGGGCCGCTTCAGCCGCACAACATGTCATGATACACATTTTTATTAATGCTTGTCAGGATATGCATTTTGATCCGAATGTGTGCTTTTATTGAGTGGATGACTCGACAGAGAAGAAGATTAATGAAGAATACCTCAGTCAGGTCGGGTCGTATAATACGTCTTAAAGACTGGCAGATGAGTTTTCTCACAGGATGAAATGCCATTGAATTTTACTTAGCCTTGACTTCCAAGGGACTATCTCATCTAAGTCAGACTCGATTGTAGTTTAGGCCTCGCCATGGATTACATTCTAGGTTCTTTGATATCGTGGTGACGTCACCATCTTACTACACAGCTACGGGTGCACGTTGGTCATGTGGCAGATGTAACCTTCAAGGTAGGACAGACTTCAAACGTTTGTTTACCATTGAAATCGACTACGCTTCTTATTCTCTATAAAACTAAGCCTCGAGACTATCATTTCTTTTTGGACTTATTTCCATTTGGAGCGAAAGTTGGACTTGCTGCACTAGACGACGACGGCCGATACCTCTTGTCGGTTGGTTTTACGGGAAAATGCGTGCCGACGCCTTCTCTGAGACAATCTTCTTCTATTCTGGTGAAAGGTGCCAAGCCCTCGTCAGTCAAATGACGGATATCATCAGAGCAAACTATCATTCTTGTATAGGAGATGTTTTCACTCTTTCTCGTTTAAGGTGATGAAGAAAGGTGTCCCACTCATAATTATTTGTAAGAATAAGGGTTGCATTGCATATAAAAAATTACGATTTATCTGTCCCAAAAGAAAGTCAATCTCCAAGACTTGGCAGTTTTCGATAAGAAATTTTTATTAATTTTCTCATTTATGAAGTGAGGATTTGCTTGTTCTTTTCGATGTAGAGCTAATGTACACTAACTGCTATTTAGCGCCCAAATATTTTAAGTACAAAGTTAGGTAA